ATATAAAATATTGGGACTAATGATGAGCAGATGGAGTTCTGAGGAGGTGAGAATTTGGAAATATCCTTAAAGGTAAGAGACAGACTACAGACCTGTCCACCTGCCCTGCTTTTTGTTGTGTTTTTGTAAGAGCATGCAATACAGCTATTTTTGAGTTTTACCTCATCTTCTGAGTCCTGCACTTTGGGCTTATTCTGCCACACAGTAACTCTTTACATTTCCATGTTTTCTCAAACTGAGCCCGTAGTTGGAACAGGAAGTAGCAAGTTTATGTTTCCTCATTCTTATCACTTTGTATCTAAATAATGCATTGTTCTTATTTCCAGAACTTGAAGAACCCCTCATCAGGCAAGTGTTTGACAGTATCTGCAGGAACTCTGATATTAACTTTGTGCAAATCAGCCCAAGCCAGTCAAAGCTGGATCTTCATCAGGGACTTGTCATGGATTTATGTGTGTGGACTCTTCTTTGAGGATGTGTATCAGCTGTGGTGTGATCCGTGTTTAAGTGTTGGTCTCCTACTACAGTAACTCAAATTTTTTTCTTACCACAAAGAAGGATTTTTGTCACTGTTTGGTAAATGCCCTCTTGGCTTAATTATTTGTACTGCTGAGCCTCATGTTAGTTCCACCTAAACTTTGAAAAGACTTTTAGTATAATGCAAGTGTTGTGCACTTCTTCAAAACAGTTACACAATGTTACACAAGTCTATAAGGCTGGAATGAAAAAGGGGAATCATTATAGTTGCTCTTTCTTTCACTAGTTATGTATGCGCATGTGACTGCTGAAATAAAGGTCTGTGAATATTCTGTATTTTGATTATAATGTAAGTCCCCTCCAACCAAAGACTTAACAGTTGGCTCTCTTGCACCAGCCCCCTACTCTCATTAAAAATCATAATGTCGATCATCACTGCAAAAAAGAAGGGACTCAAAGCAGATTCCTGATATATTCCCACCCCACCTTAAACTCATCTGTCAGTCCTACCACACACCTCGCAACTGTTTTGGTTTCCCCATACATGTCTTGCACCACCTTTAAATACTTCTCTTCCACTCTTGACTTCCTCATGCACTATCACAGTTCCCCTCTTGGCACCCTACCATATGCTTTTTCTATATCAACAAAGACACTGTGCAGCTTTTTCTTATACTTCTTCATCAACACTCTCAAAGAAAACATTGCATTGTTGGTGCTGTTTCTTGGCATGAAGCCATATTGCTGCTCACTGACCATCACCTCTGTCCTTATAGCTTCAACAGCTCTTTCCTATCTGTTCATGGTATGACTCATCAACTTTATCCTTCATAGTTACTATAGCTTCACACATCACCTTTGTTCTTGAAAATCAAAACCGGTACATCATCATCTCATTCTCCAGGTTAAATACTCTGCTTAAGAAGTCCATTGCTCTCTACCTCCAGTGTCTACACAGTCTCTAGAATGTCTACAGATCGCCTTTCCACTCTTCCTTTTTACATTTCCTGATTCACTAACTTTCCTCCATTTGTCCTCTTCTCACTCTCATCTTCTTTCATGAACTTTGTTTGAGAAAAAAAAATTATTTATATAACCATATAATTCCAGTATTTATAAATACAATTATTGCCCCGATGGGCTCTTAGTATTGCGCAGTCATTAATATTTATACAAAGGTTTCCTTCAGATTGGGATGGGGGTGCAGGGGAGGGGCGATTAAACACGCCTACTTGTGGGCGTGGCGTCACCAGAGTCGACAGTGATGGGATCTCGAGCGAGCGCTGGTGAGTTTCTTCCAACCCAATAAAATCTCTCAATTCTGCTTTGTCATCTCAACCGGGAAGTAGGCAGGACAGAGAAATAAGCACCACCGAGCAGGGCTGCCGTCGCTGTGAAGTTGCATAAAGGCTGTGGCGTCTTGTCTTGGGTTCACAGGTTTTAACTGCCAGGTTATCGTCTCCTTAACGGACCTGTTTGTAAGTAGCATTACAGTCGCATTAGCTTAGCTTGTAGTAGCTTTGCCGCTTTTTAAACGCACATTGTGTTAGCTAAGCGAAAGCTAGGTGCTCTTTTTTTCGCTAGCTGGGGTTGGTTCTGTCAATTCATGTTGTTATAAGAGGATGATAATGTTGAAGCTTTTGTCTCAGGCGAGGAAAACGCTTTGTATCTCCGTTTAATAAAAGTGTCATCAGAGCTCTTCCATACTGCCTACCAGTGCTGCTAACCGCACATTAAATAAAACGCTGGTTGAGCAACAAATTGTCTGCTGGGGTGTCATCCTGAGATGTTCGCCATCCAGCTTTATCATGGTGTTGTGCATTAAGGTTCAGCAGTCTAAACACGGGATTTGGTGGAGGATTTGACTAATGTCATTAGAGTATGTTGCTGTGTGTGAGACTATTTCTGGGAGTAGTAGCTTCCATCTGACAGGCACACACGTGCACTGTTGTTTTTGTGTTTGTCAGTACGTCAGTGGTAATGCAGCTTGCAGAAAGTGAAGAAGTCTGTGATAAAATTACTGGACCAACTTGTACTTCCTGATTGGCTAAGCCTATACCTTTTCCGTTGTTTTTCAACGTTAAGTAATGTTCGAGGAAGTAAACGCCTAGTGCCAGGGGTTTTGCCTCATTTAGCTCGTTTTACAAGTCAGATGCCCTCTCATGACTGGTAACAACTATAGGGCGAAATCTATTCATTTGGATTCCCTTTTTATAGAGTCCAAAATGTCTTGCTTTGTCACAATCCCAATAGGATTCACTTTTCAGTCATTACAGTTTATTCAGAAACTAGAATCAGATATTTATGTGGGTTTTTTCCTAAACATTTTCCTTTAATTGTTTTTTTTTGTTTTTTGTTTGGTTTTTGTTACAAATTTTAAAAAATGCGCATATTAGCTGTGTGAACTGACTCTTCTGGCATTTATTATATTTTAAAATGCCTGAAGGAGTGAAAAACACCAGTACTAAAGGTGCCATCAAAATCAAAGGTTTTATTGTTAGTAACATAATCATTAAATATAATATTTGCTCTTTTGAGCGTTTTGAAGAGAAGGACGAACACAAGGGGCGAAGGTTAGGTGAATGACATTTATTAAATGGTCTAGCCGACCATCAAATTGGATACTCACTGAGGTAGCGTTGATGTATAGATGGATAGCTGCTGTGGTCTAGTAAGTAATTCGTATTATACAGAAATGAACTGGTGGCTGTAGGAGAATGATGCTAAAACAGTACAGCATGTAAGCATTAATGAAAATGTTAAGCATTACGCATTAAGTGAGCCATCTGACCAGACCTAAATTTATTTTGCAGAGCGACCGCAACTGACCAGGAGTGAAAGAGAGGTGTCCTCAGCCACAAGAACAAGGAACCCTGCAACAGATGGTAAAGAGCCCAAACCTCAAGATCACCAAGTTGGTCTGAGATTGCAATATGAGAAAGAAGTAGAAGATGTTCGTAAAGATATTGGGAACAAACTATCTTAGAAAAGTTTGCTCTTTTAACGACATGTGCAGTTTGCGTGAAGTTAAAGGAAACCAAATAAACAAATTAACATTATTTGTGGTATTTATTTGTAAAGGCTGAAAGTTTTGCACACGTGTGATCTTTAAGAAACTGTTCATTGCATTGTTTTTCTTTACATTATTTCTTTGAAGGAGAGATTGATGATTTTGAGTGTCTTAGATACTTGTTATGTAGCTTTGGAGGGCGCGGCAAAATTCCTGACACTTTCTCCTGTCAGCTTGAGGCAACTTTGGTTGTGATTGGTGCTATAGAAATGAAATGGAATTGAAATTTGCTCTTTTTCTTTAACAGGTAAAATGACTTTTTAACCTTTTGTATGTCTGCTTTTTAGAGAAAATGAGCATCCCTCTCTCTCGCTCTGAGGTGTTTGGGGAGCTGAGGAAGGAGCTCTATGATGATGAAGAGTTTCATCAGTCCGATGTTCATGTCTTCATCATCATGGGCGCATCGGTAAGAGTTCAATCACTCCCAGAATAAAACCTAAAAAGGGTACTAATAAGCAGATTTGTGAAATCAAATAAAGAGGTGAATTGTCTAGAGGAATCGCACTCAAAATTAAAAACAATGAGCCTTCTATTATCAGGAGTATATAACTAATCTCTTTGTCCCTTTTTATTTTGGCACATTTAGACTGTAGGGCACTTAGCCAAGAGTGTTTGGCAATATTTTCAAAGAAAGTGTGTTGAAATCCTAAAAAAAACTTGCAATAATTGCACCCACTGTGATTAGGTAAATGTTGAAACTGATTTCAAAAAGCTTCTGCAAACAAGCACAACTGGGACAGTGTTCAAAACTGAGACAGTGAATCAGGCAAGGTTCCTCTTTGTTGTCATTTGAGGAGAGGTTATAAATGGAACGTTTTAATTGATTGGCAGTAATTTTCTGTCTATATAAAGTAATAATTGCAGCAGTGTTGTTTTTATTTTACTCAAAGATCTGTGAACAGTTCACTTGCATAGAATTAATTGGTAAAATGAGCATTGCCTATATTTTTCAATATCTGCAAAATCTAAATGAACATTTTTATTTATGTTTTGTTATTCTCGGTTACTCTGAGGTTAAAAGGTGAAATGAAATCCATCCAGACAAGTGAATGAAATATGACTCTATTCATAGTATAACGTTTCCTTATACTTCTCAGGTGATGTGTTCAGGAAATGAAACCATTTCCAGCATTGAAAAACATTTTATTCCCCTTCTTTCCTTGTTGCACAATATTCTGATTTATCATCATTCTGTGCTTTTACCTACGGGTCCTTCAGTCTTAACTTATCATTAAAAACAAAAAAAAACACTTATCCTTAAAATTGCAAAGTCATGCTTTTTAAAGAATAAATCTCTTTTTATTGTCATCTTCAAAGACACTGTTTCAGTTATGATGTCACTGTTATGAAATGTAAAACAAAAATAGCTGCATTTGCTTTATATATGAACATCTAACTGGCTGTGGCATCTGTCTGCTGCACTGTGGCTCTTTGTAGGAGAGAGCGGCGCTGTGGCTGTTTTTTGCAGAGTCACAGACAGTCAGCGTTTTCCTTTCACTGTGCTATGTAGGATCAAGAGCAGGCCAGGGCTAGGCTGTGATTAGCCTCACTCTGGTTGTGCTCGTTTTATGTTTGTGTTTCACTATACCGCTTTAAGAGGTGTAACTGCTTTTTCCCTTCAAACAAGGGTCATGCCACATATTCAAACATTTATTTACCAAAAACAATTGCCTAGCTTTTGTGGTTTAAGTAGATAATATCTTTATCAGGTTAAACTCTGATTAATAAATGTAAAGAGGGTTGCTGTCATTTTAAATAAATATTATGGATTCAACTTTGTACAAAGTGGCAGGATTACAAGTCAAGGAACTCCCATGTGAGTGTTTTAAATGAGGTGTGTCAAACATAGAATAGAATAGTACTTTAATGCCGTTGTACATGTACAACGAAATTATGGGTGCTCCATGCCAACTGTGCAGGAATAAAATATAAATGGTAAGATGGCAGGAATAAATGGCATACAGAAGAAATGTATAATTAAGGAGAATGTATACAAAACAAGAGACATGTACACATTTGAGAACAAAGTTCTTGGAAGTAGTGCAAAGGACTTGGCTTAAGTATCGAGTCCATGTGTGAGTGGCCTGAGTGATGAGGGTTACTCAGGTCATCAGGTGCCTCAGATTGGTGAGGTGGGTGGGCAGAGTTGGGGTGTAGAGGGATGGTGTTTGTTAACAGTAACTGAATGGCCCAGGGAAAGAAGCTGTTTGTGAGACTGGAGGTGTGGGACCTGATTGACCTGAGGACACTAGGTAAAATAGGTGGCCCAGTGTCCACAATTGTTCCAGTGAAGAGTCCCATCCAGCCCACTGAGAGTTTCAGTGAAATCAATAAATTCTGGAGTTTTTCCACTCTCGGTGATGCCAGCTTTACTACACAGGAACCAAAATCTCAGTTAAAGATAGAAAAGTACTTCTTTTGTCACAGTTTTATGCCTTTCTGCTGTACTTTGTAAACTTTAATGTACACGTAATGGGCAGGAAAGCAGACATTGTTGAAATGTGTTTTTATTCCGATTGCTCACAAAATAGGAATAATAATTTAACAAGAAGTACTGTTTTAATATCTGGCACACTTTTAAGAAGCAAAGTTTCAGTTTTTAAGAAATCTACACTTTACACTTTTCTGTGGCGCTTTTACTGGTCCAACCCATTTGAGATCAATTTATGTCCCCCTAAACTAAAATGAGTTTGACACCAGCATTGGCAATTACATTTCTAATTAAGTTGGCTTCTAATGTTCTGCTATGACCGTTTGGTTAACGCTGAGGTTAAAAGGCAATAAAAGTTGTACTTTTATTTGGGTTATAACTGATTTCAGAGCCTCTATTGCGTTTTATAGTGATTACAAGGCATTAGCCTTTATATAGCAGACAGGTTGGACCACTATGTTTAAGCCACTAAAGCAGCAGGTTATTCAGTAAGATTTCCATAAGCAGCAGGGCAGTGTTGTCTCCTGGTGGTTGGCATTTGTTTCCACTGGGATTACTGAGGTTGTGCAATTCTTAAATAAGCCAAAGCCGCCTACTTACCTGTAGCAGCACAGTGTAACCGGTTTGCACTGCAGCATCTTTAGACCTTTGTGTGCTTGGAAAATGACTAATGCTCGCTGAGATTACTAGCCTAAATAAATAGTACACTGACTTGCATGTGACTGTGCTTGTAGCCTGTATTTTGAAGGTGAGATGATATAAGATAACTGTTTATTGCCATTGCAAAGTCATACTTAGTACAATAGTACAACGCAATTGGGACACTAAACACAACAAAACACAACGCCGTAAACTTTAGAGTGGATCATTTTTGTGTGTGTTTGCTCCAATAGGGGGATCTGGCTAAGAAAAAAATCTACCCAACCTTATGGTGAGTACAGGCTCATTAAAGATACTACTTTAATCTGGATTGTAGCCTCAGAGGTGGGTTATAGTGAACCATGTGTTCCTCTGTTCTCTCCCAGGTGGTTGTTCAGAGATGGCCTACTACCTGAGCAGACGTACTTTGTGGGCTTTGCTCGCTCTGCCCTGACAGTTGATGCCATCCGGACTGCTTGCATGCCATACCTGAAGGTAAACATGGACACTTGAGATGTAGTGCTCAACAGATTATTCATTTATTTAATGGAAGAAAGAAGGTCAGATCAGATTGTTATAATGAAATCATATCCATAAAAAGGAAGATGAGTATTAGAAAAATGCAAATAAATTGAAAACACCATCTTAGTTTGTTGGCTTTTTTCTGTTCTAAATTAAAACTGTTTGATAGCGATGTGAGTTATAGCAGCATCACACAAAATAATAGTGATTCAAAGTGTGTAGGAGGGTCTTGAGTTAAATCTCATTTAACTTTGCTAGATCTCAGAACACGGTGCATTTTTTTGTGAAAGATATTATCAACAATGTGTTGTCCATACATCATTAAAGGTTTTTCCTCTCTGGCACAGGTGGCAGACACAGAAGTAGACCGGTTGTCGGCCTTCTTCGGCAGGAACACGTACGTCAGTGGGAAATACGTAGATGGGGATTCTTTCTTCAAACTCAACACACACATCGAGTCTCTTCCAGGAGGCCCTGGGGCTAACAGGCTCTTCTACTTGGCCCTGCCACCCACCGTCTACCACGATGTTACCAAGAACATTAAGCACCACTGCATGAGCACAAAGTCAGTACACATTCCTGTCTCTGACGTCGATGTGCCACACAGCTTGTTTAATTTTTTTTTTCTTGTGCTACCTGCTGTATCTGACTGTAAATCCATTACATGTAAGTGGAGAGTTTGATGCAGTGGATTCTTTGCATTCATCTGATATGAGTGGAATGTCACCTAAAAGTCTGACGTGTTTATCTGTGGTGTAGGAATTTGTAAATTAACTCCAGAATCTCACACTGAGAAATGAAGTGCGAGACATCATGGCAAACCTCCATTGCAATTTTGGAGTAGTAGTAG